ACATCAATCTTGATGAGTGGATCTGCATCACAGTTCTCCCAGGCCAATCTATCACTATCTATGCCTCTGGGTAGATCCCCCCCCAACACTAACACACTCATACAGGCCCATACTCCCTCGCTGTCCCATCTGCACGTTCCCATCATGCTCTTTTTATACCACACATTGCTAAATCTGTTGTTTCCATGTTGTAGCATGTAGAAGCAATCCATAATATGTCAAACAGTATTTTCACATCAGAGAAAATTTAGCTTTAAAGGATAAGTCTGGTGATATTCTCTACTTCTGTTAATCCCATGAAAAGACTTAAACAACAATTCTTTAGTCTGTCTCTCAATACTTTCTGACTTCTGTTGCACGTAATTCTTAAAAAGTGGGTCACAAATATATGTTTACTATATACTCATTCTAAATAACTTCCTACAAAAGATGGGCACTGCAGGTTGGAACAAATGTTACTTAAACTGAATTAAAGTAGTGTATTGTAATTATTTTCATTGGCAGATTTTATATGCTAGTGAGTATTTACAGCACCAAGATAGAGTACATTGGATCGAGAGAGGCCCCATGTTCAAAGTAATAAAGGAACAGTTCAACAGTGTGACAATGTCGGTATACGACACAGAGGAATAAGCTTTGCGAATATACTCGTTAGTCGGATCAATTCATTGTTGGTTTTTGCATTTGCTACAGGATTTGTTGACAATTAGAAAATATTTAATATCACCTTCAATTCACTCCATGCCCTGTAGGAAATAACAGATACTAATCAACAGACTGTGCTGTTTCCAGCTGTAGTGATTAACCAACTCATGCCAAATGTTTATTGTAGTTATTTTTAAGTGTTCTGATTGCTTTTTTCTATTAGTACGTTTTGTTAGCATACAGCACTAAGCAATGTCAATTAAAAGCCGGCACATTTTCAGATTTACTGGTGAAGTAAATGTAGAGGGGAAATAGATACACGCATTAGGGCTTAAGCCAATAGTTCTGTGGTTAGAGAACGGTAACTACCTCCTGTGCCATAAGCATCTTGAACTCTTAGTGGCTATGGAACACTTAAATACAGAGAGTACTGGCTTCATCAAGGCCATAAAGCATAAAGAGGACTTATCTAGAGCTGAAAGCTAGGGACAGAGCCTATAGAGGAGTAATGATCCCTTAATGTGGTGGCCTCTCTCTCTCAACCTCTCGCACTCTTTCTGTCTCCTCTCCTCCTCCCACCCCCAACTGCTACATTAGCAGGGATAATAAATGAGACTCCGGCATCACAAGCATAAACTTTTTATGACCCACCTAACCAGCCTTATCAAATGTGGATGTGATTACTCTGCCAGGTGACAGACGGAGAGATGGATGGACAGAAGTGATGGAAGGGTGGGAATGCAGATGCATTTCTGGTGGAAATAAATAATTATTTAATAATTTTGTACATGAAGGAATGATGAGTGCGGAAAAGTAGGAAGAGGAAGTGTTAAAATAAAGGATGAGGAATAAAAAATGAGAGTAGAATGAGGGAGGTGAGGAGTGGGAGGATGGGAGTGTCTTGAGTGCTGCTCTGGGTAGCTGCTCTGAATGGGCTGGTAAGATGGAGTGGACAGGCTGTATGGGCCCAGTGAAAGGCGCCTTTCTCCTCTACATGATAACTTTGATCCCTCCTGTTTCCACACACCAGTCAGCAATATTGTTAAGCAGCAGTTGGTTAATACTTTAACCGAGTCCTGGTATGTAGACGAAGGGAGGAGGTACTCCCAACCCCCCCTCCTCTCTCTCTCTACTCAGACAGTTTATCCAGATATCTCTAGAATTTCCTGTTCCTATTTACTGTATTCAAATCTATTAAAATCATTCAGGTTTAAGAGTCCGTGGAGGCTCTGTTGTCATTGTCTGAGTTATCATCATCTGCAGTTACAAGTTATGAAGAAATGATAAAATATGAGAAAATATCAAACATAATGTAATCAAATATAAAATTGTAACATTCAATAAGAAATGCATTTAATAAAATAAATAAATATCACAAAGACAAATATAAATAAAATTACAGAAATATAGTAATGGAATGTGAAATATAACGCAATTACTTTTATCACATGCACTCTATCATATAACATAATCAGAAATGAGGGATAAATATTTGGCATGCTTTTTGGCTGCCTTTTGCCGTTTACAAGTTTGGATACTAAAGACACATAATTCATTTTAAAGTTTAGTTTTAATGTTATGGTGATGCTTAGAAATTATAATTGCCTTTCTGCTGTAAATTTTGCCTCCAAATAACTGAAAAAAGCTGCTTGTTTAATGTATATTTTATTACACTAGTTGTTCCCCACCAAGTTATTTTATCTTTTACACTTTTTGGCCGAGATGCAGAATTCTTATTGGAGTCGCGGGGTTTTCCTCACAGTAACTACTGTGCCATGTTAGCTGTATGACTGATAGCGTGGATGCATGCTAAACATGTTTGACATGTAGTTTTTGTTCTGCCTCATTAACGAACGGCCCGAGTATGAAGAGATCAGATTAAAGGTAATTAAAATGACAAAAACACACCATCATTCCTAATGCAGCTGTAATGACGGCCTAAGTGTAGCTGAATGCCAACCCCCTCAGCCTCTTTTTCCTCTCTGTTCCTCCCTCCGCTCATCCCTCTCTCCAGCTCAGCTGTGGCTACAGAATCATTAACCTGGCTCTGTGAGTAGGATGTGCTGACAGAACACTCTGCTATTGTGCTTCCTGTCATCTTCAGGAAATCAGGGCTTCCCCCTGCTGTCGAGGTAAAGCACCACTGGGTGATGAGCGATGCCAATCTTTCTCTTCGTTCCTCCTTTTATTTTGTTCTTCGGTTTATCTCGGTTTATCTCATTCCCTTTACCTCTCTTTATGTCCCTCGACCAAAACTGCTTGCACACAAAAAAATGTCGTTTAGTAAAATATCCAATACCTGTCCAAAGTCCCAGAATCAGCAGAACATCTGAGCCACATTTAAATGCCTAAAATAATTATTAAAATTAGACTTTTAACTCCAGGGAAAATTCCTTCGTTTTCAAATAATTTACTTTGTTAATTTATTAAGAACTACTCATTTTCTAAGACAAACACAGGCTAAAATATATTATACATAACTAGAAGGTGGACAAAATAACAGATATTACACACTTACACACACTACAGATATTATACACTTGAATATGTAATAAAATCCAGTGCAATCCCACGAGAGAAATTAATACAATTCATTTCTAACAGTCCCACCAAAAACTGACAATCAAAAGCTTTACAGTAGTATTTATAGCCAAACTATTATTCTGTTATAAGGTGTTTCCTATATTATGACCACCCCCGTGTGTGCGCGTGTGTGTGTGCACCCCCTGATTCAAGTGATGGAGTGGCTATGCTCTGTCATGAGCTGCGCAGAGTTGACGCTTCCTTTACATGGCAGCTGCAAGGCTCCAGTGATGTATCAGAGTCAGCAGAAGCATTGATCAGAACCAGGGTTAATCATTGCTCCGGGAACCCAGAGAGATAGAGGCTGCCTGGGGAGAAGTAAGCCAGGGGAGTGGGCGGCTTCACCACAGGAGGCCTGCAGCTCTACAGTAAAGGAATGCTGGCAGGGAGACATAACCACTCGCCTGTTTGTCTCACTGTCCAACTATCAAATGTTCATAATAACAAACTGCAAAGGTCTGTATGCTTGTGTGTGTGTGTGTGTGTGTGTGTGTGTGTGTGTGTGTGTGTGTGAGTGTATGTGTGAGTATGGGGTGGGGGCTGATGGGACCAGCAATGTAATCCCCTTAAATGGACGGACTTCCGAAATGTGGGCAATGTGAAGCCGGATCTGTGCTGTGTCTACTCAGCAGTACCCATTCACTCCCATGAGCTGGGGAGTTAATAATTCAAAAGAGAGATAGGGGGAAAGAGGCCATAGGCCTGAGTGACAACACGGAGAGCGAGAGGGAGACAGAGACCAGTGAGAGTGGAAAAAGAGACCGCACTGGGAAGGATGAATGTAGAAATAATAAAAGAAATATTCCAGAAGGCAACTTTATCACGTTGGAGAAAACTTACATGACATGAAGTTGTGTATTACTAAACTGACCCACAAACTACACGAGCAGAGGCCTTTCCCTCCGTTCAGCTTCCCCCCTCCTCTCCATCCTCTTCTCCTCTCACTACCAGTCCCTCTGGGATGACTATTCCCTGCGACCTGCCGTCACCACCATAACTGTTGCCAACATCAAAGTCCAGGATGCTCTTTCCAAGAAATGCACGTGAGGATATGAAGGGAACACACACATAGACCTACAAATAAGTGGCTGCACAGATAAACACACAAGCCTGCACACACGCACACACACACACACACACAGATACTTGAAGGAATGTTAGAAATGCCAGTAGGAAGGATGAGGGGCAATGGGAATACAAAGAGGTCGATCTCCTCAGAGGGGAGGAAAAACAGGGCAATAAAACCGTCAAGTCAAGCCAAGAATCTGCTGATGGCACACATACATATACGCAAGTTCAGAGAGACAAAAGAGAATCTGTCAAGCAGATAAAGCCATCACTTCTCCTTTTCATCCCTGGTTTTGTCCAGAGGCGTCCCCCTTTCACCTCTCCTCTGCCACGCCAACACTTGTCAGGCAAGAGAGTCATTAATGTTTAGCTGGGCAGTGATGGCAGCGCTGACAGGACTCATCTGTCTAAGAAGACAAGATGAGAGCGAGGGACAGCCCATCAAAGGATGCCACTTAGAGAGTGAGAAGGAGAAATGAGGGGGGAAAAAAGGAAAACGCAAGGTTGGACGGACAGGGAAAAGACCCATCTTTCTTTGCAGAGTTAAAGGTTACGTCACCAAGGTGGGCTATAAAATGATGCTATTGTCATCTCCATCCTTCCCCTCCCATTCTGTCTCTCTATCCATCCACCCACCTACACAGCCCCCTTCTCCCCACCCCTCCACTCCCCTCCACGTGCTTGTCAGCAGTTTGATTCAGTACCTGCAGGTTAGTTACTCATTGAGCTGAGGAGGGACCGTAGCTGGTGGAGGTGTATGGACGGCTGTCTATGGGCAGCCACTGGTGGTTGGGGGCTGCTGTTTGATTGACACATCTGCCTGCGTCGTCCATTCCCTCCTGTAAAGACACAAGACACAAAGCACAGGAAGTGGAGGGAGGTAAACAGCTTTGAATATGAATGGTACACTGCAGGGGCGGTTAATAATTGGGAAGTGTTGGACTATTAATCTGAGAGACAAGGCGATGTCGGGTTTTGTCACCAAACTGTACAGCCTTCTGTATATACAGTTAAAGTATCTCAGTTTCCGATAAGCCATTCACAGTAATATCACAACCACAATAAGAACAGTAAGTACTTTAATAAAGCCATTATACTGTTATCCACTTTCATGCTCTGCTGGACCTCTAATGAAACACTGAGGCCATAAATCAGAACTTCTCATAACAAGCTTTTTCAACTTTCCACTTCCAGTTTTACATTTTGTGCTGCATTTTTTTTTTCATGTTAACCAGCGCTTCGTCGCGGTTTATACCGTGGATTGTTTTACGAGTGACTTACTGATAACATGATAACATTTGTTTGCTGTCTTCCAAAAATAGATCTGTTTGGATGTTTATGGGTATTTGTGCCTATGTGAACATGTCCAAACATCTATGAGCGCAGTGCAGTAAATTAGTGTTTCCCTCCATCTCTCCAGATGTGTCAGAAGTTAATGGAGAAGGTGCTTTGACTGCCATGACAAGTTAAGTAGAGGGAGCGGGACCATTGTCTTCCAAATCAGCTGTCAGTGTGTTTCTGCTGTCAGCAGTTTGACTCACTACCTGCCTGGTTAATCATCGAGCCGCTCCGAGCTGCGAGCTGTTGGAGGTGTATGGCCCACCGTCACGGACCCCCATCATCGCCACAACAGGACAACATCTGATTGACAGATTAGCAAGCACTGGCGCTTTTTCAAAGAAAGACAGGGGGGGAAAACAGGGCGGAGAGTAGTGATTGGAATTGAAGGAGACTCAAAAAGGAAGTGTGAGGTAGAGGAGGTGTGTGTTTGTGTGGGTAGGTAGGGTGGAGGAATGAAGGTTAACAGGTCTTCTCAGTTGTGTTTGTGTGTGGAGGAATATAATGATGTAAGACGTCCTGTATGTGCTGAAAGTTTCTGCAGTGGAAAGTGGAATGGACGGGTAAAATGAGAACATTTACAGGAGAGTGAGAGACGGATGGGCAGATAAAAACATCAGGGTTTCTGTCCCCGTCTGTTCTCATAACTGTGTAGCTATAAAACAAACAGAAACAATGTCCAGGAAGACTGAGGAAGAGGAATGGAGACAGTCTGACAAATAATCAGGATTCCTGTGAAAGTGAAATTGCCTCCCCTATTGGACATTAACGCTGCTACAACCAACATTAGCCCCCCCCCCCCCTACCGCGATAAGGTTATCCCCACTCTAGTCCTCTCCCCCTCCTCTGATTCCCTCATGCACGCCCGCTGAGGTTTGATTTCAAATGGAAAAATTAATGGGAGAATAATAGCCTTGGGCCTTGCTCTCGTCCACGCACACATCTTAGTTGGTCTACAGGGGTACACAGAGGGGGAGTAAAATTTAGATCCATTCGCCTCCCTTGGCTTGCTGTTCCATTGTGACACACACACACACACACACACACACACACACACACACACACACACACACACACATACACAAGGGACATTGCCACCCCCCCCACACCCTTCTTTTACACCTTAGAGAGCTTAACTTTCAAATATTAGTACAGTGGCTGTGCGGATTTCAAATAAATAAATAAATGAGGAAGCAATGATTAGCAATTCTCCTGATAGTTATATCAGTGTGTTTCATATTCATTTTCACTTCCAGGAGAATATTTCTGCAGAAACAGTGATTCTGAGAACTTTCCAAGCTTTTACAGGGGCTAAAACTGGTGCGAGGAGGGTTTTTTTTTTCACTAGTTTTTTTTGCAGCGATTTAAGGAGTCCTTGCTTGGATTTACACAAAACAGATCAAATAATGACTCTCCTCCTCCAATATATTGTATTTGATTTACAGTAACAAAGTACACATGATGCTTGCAGGGACAAGAGTAAAGATAAACCGTGTTATCCTTGCAGTTCTGAGTACCTCTGGCATAATATTGGCAAGAGTCGGGTTTTAAAGGGCATAAAAATAGATGCACGCACACACAAGATGTGCAAGTTTCACTTCAGCTGATACAGGGCCAAGTTGGTTGCAGGCATAATTAAATCAAAGTTAAGTCTCATTGCTCTTAGGCTTCCAACACAAGGAGAGTGTGTGTGTGTGTGTGTGTGTGTGTGTGTGTGTGTGTGTGTGTGTGTGTGTGTGTGTGTGTGTGTGTGTGTGTGTGTGTGTGTGTCTGGCCGAGGTAGGGGGTCGGTTGTTAAAGAGTTTAAAAGCGGAAGAGGAGTTGGTGTAGAACCAGTATTGATGTCGGGGATGCCCACTGGCACTTTCTGTTCAAACATTTTGAGAGGACCGACCTGCCCGAGCTGCAGCGCCCGGGTGGCAGGATTCCCGCTCTTCCTGTTTCTCCTGACTTTGAGGAATTTTACGGTGAACAAACTCCCAGTGCTCCTCTTACACGCCCCACACCTCATCAGATACCTGCCTCAGCAAAACTAGAGACAGACCAAGAGAGCGAACTTTCCAGGCATTTGAGAGTTCCTATCTCTTGTCACCCTTTCCGTGTATCTACTTTTAATATCACTGATTCAATCTCACTGTTTATATTAGATATTCTTCCACTAAAAGCACCAGGTGATGGATACAAGTTAGACCTTATGATTGCTATCTGACTGACTTTATTATACACCACTTCTTTCTCTTTGACTCAACATATAAGCAGAATGTGCTGTGTGAGGAGTGTAAAATAGCCTAAAACAGGAAGAAACCCTTTTTTTTTGGGACCTGGTCCAAAAGGAAGAATTTTCAGACTGCTGCCAAAAATCAAGCAGACTGACAGAGAGGAGTCTTCTCTTTTCTAAGGGTGTTGGGTCATGCTGAGCCCTGACTCATGACTCAAAAGTGTGCAATTTCAACAATATTACAAACATACTGACTGAAGTATATATGATGTTCACCTGTGACGGTTCAAATGTCTCAGCTCAGACAGCTACCGAGGAGCATAAACCTACAAGTTTGAGAATGTTCAAATTCAAGAGACTTACAGTAGGCGGAAGAGGAGGTTTACAATACATTGAAAGAAAACAAAAGGCTGGTGGAAGGGTGTCTAGGGTAGAGTGATGGTGCGACACACTTCTAAAGAAAGCCACGGTCCCCATCGCATCTCGCAGTGTGCCTGTGGGCACATGTAGCATTAATTGCTGCCTCCACAGAGCCTGCAGACTGCACACACTATCTATTGCTCGCATCAAAGAAACCAAATGCTGAACTTTATGAAATTTTTATTCAATGTGTTCACTTCTCTTCCCTTTTTCCTCTCTTTCTTCCTTTTCCTATTCCCCACCTTGGCCCCCCTCTCCCTTTTTAGCTCAGCCACCAAACAGACAAGAAAGACTTTTCTCTGCCATGTTTTTCGGCTCGACTTCCTTCCTGCCCAGAAGCACTCGAGTATCTCGTTAGTTCTCTCACAGCTAACATCTCTCCTCTATCTGCCAGGAGCAAAAACCTGATTGGGGGGGGGGAATAAAAAGAAAAGAAAAGGGGGGACTACATCAAGAAGTTTGGTGGGTAAGATTCTCTGTAGAGCTAGGTGAGAAATTGTAATATCATTTAGCTACAGTAATTACAGATACAAGAAACACACAGAGGAAAGAATAGAGATGAGAGGGTTTTCTCTCCCTGTGGACAATGTACACCGAAGGGCCCAAGTTTCATCATGAACTTAGCACAGATACAAGTGCATGCAAAAACACATTGCAGGATCATTGTTGGTAATGATACGGCACTGCCCTGACATCTAATATATGAACAAAGGTTTGTCGAAAAGGTTGGCTTATTTAATATATTCCACAATTCCTTCTTTTCACTTACACACCTTTTTTTTGCTGCTCGCCTGATTATGACAACTGAGCAAATCCGGAGTTTCGATTGATGCACCCCGCAGATTACCTTCCTTTAAATGGCTTTCTCTTTCACTCTTTCTCTCTCTCACTCTCTCACTCACTCACTCACACTCTCTCTCACTCTCACACACACACACACACACACACACACACACACACACACACACACACACACACACACACACACACACACACACACACACACACACACACGTCATCCATCAAAACAGCGAGTGTTGTTTCTTCCCCCCCCACACGTCTCATACACACAGGTATAAATCACTGCGTCTGATTTCTGGGGCCAGGGTTTAAATAATTAAAGAGCTTTAATTTATCAGGATTTAGCACCCACTAACAGCAGGGCTGACAAAAGAGAATGAGAGATATATTGAGAAAGAAAAAAAAGGTCATTATACATGAGATACATATACAAAATTATTACACATTTTACTGAGGAGAAAAACGAACATCTAGGGCTAAGTGGCACCAAAGACTACGTGAAAAGGCATTACGGTTCTGCTCTAGAGCTACTTGATCTGGTTTTATTTTACCTGTTGGTAGAAGACAAATGCAATGCAACGGTGTGTGAAGATCTGCACTATGCACTGTATATGGTTGATTTGTGACAATAACAAGTGAGTGGAAAACTACATCGATGTAAAAGAAAAAAAAAAAGAGACAATTCACATTTTAAGAATTAAAATGAAAACATCCAGCAAAAATCAAGCAAAGTCAAACAGAATTTTCTTGTTAACCACATGCTGTCAGTTATTATTTGTATGCTTCCCAAACTATGTGGATTTTTGGCAGTGATGTGAAGAAATGTGAAAACCAGCTAAACAAACTGGAGTGTTTTTTTTGTGATGAAGCATCCAAGACACTGGGCATGAAAAAGAACACACTACAGTAACTTACATTTAAAATCTTAAAGTCATGTCATCCACCGTCTGGAGCGAACTTGTGGTCATTCTGTTAAAACTATAACAAATAACCCCTCTAAAACCTCAGTTTCAAAAGATCAGTGACATTTTTGTATGCTGCATTTGAACAAAACCCAGTTAAAAAGCGAAGCTGGAGAACAACACATTGAGTAAAGTACATTTATAGAATGAAATCTGTGTTGGATTATGTCTTGCAACAGAGCCAGGAGGCTAGTGAGGGCCATGGCTGTCATGAATGGCCAGAGAGCGGTGGAACTCTACTGCCCCCCTATGGCCATAAACATGCAAATAAATTCTCATCAAAATGAAAAATAGAAGAAATCACAGAACTGACTGATTATAACATACGGATGGTCTCCTACTTGCATCTTTTGGTTCACTCGATGAACTATTAGCCCTATGAGTTTTGGAAGTCAGAAACAAGATCTACCAGCAGGCACAAAGACATAAGGGAGAAACATTACAATAAAGCAAACAGCCCTCTCTGGCTTTGTTTGACCCTCATATTATTTATTCTTTCCAGTAGATCTCTGAAAACAGAATGAATACACACCCTCTCACACACAAACACATACTTCACGCAGAAACAGCATTAAAAAAAGACAGAGCTTCCATCTGCTGATAAACTCAAAAATATAAACAAAAAACGCCCTCTCCTCTTTTGAGGAAAAACATGCAGAGTCACTCTTGAGTAGATTATTATATATTATTGTTAACATTACTTGACCACTTCACTGAGTGAAGTTTGTCGTTTGCTGGCAATAGTTAGCCACCTAGTGGTCAAACCCTCTTATAACATCAAGTATTGACGACAGGGAAATTTAATTACAACTTTGGAAGTTTTTGGCTATATGACACCATGTCATCAATGAACAAACTGCTTTAACAAACATAGTTTAATAGATATTCAACAAACTATCAAGTCTACAGACTCAACTGGGGGGGAGGATAAGAGAGTATCACACCAGAAACACAGAATCACTCCTAAATCAGACAGTACAATATGCTTCTTTTTTTTTAAACCATATTGCGTGATTTATTTTCTGAATAATAAACCTATAGAGTCATAGTAACGAGACCAATTTCCCCGTGAAACTGATTACCATAGTAATACAGTACCACCATCCTCATGATAGATGAATGATCATACAGTGTGTTGTTCTGTCTTCTCAAGACTTCACATCACCATCTCCACTTCACTGGATTCCTCCTCAGGTGGATTGTTCACACTTCAGTTGTCCAAAAGGGAGCGCTGTAGAGCCTCCTGGATCATTGTGTGCTCATCTGTAGAGTAATCCTGCAAAGACATGGATGCAAAAAGAGAGGAAAACAGGACCAAGTTAACTGACGGTCATCACACCCAGAACTTTCCATAAGTGCCAGCTGCTGGATAAACAGCCTATTAATCATTTAAGTTTTATTTCTGGAAAAAAATACTGTATTAAGTTACTGCTACTGAAACATTTCCTACTGCTGCAGCTTCACAATAAAAGCATTTGACTTGCAAAACTGTTGACTTTTATTATGAAGTAGGCAAGTTACAGGAAATGCAATGCGTTTGTCAGTGAGCTTGACACTGGCTACTATCGTTAGTCAAAAGTGCCTCTACAAAACAAGACTGGTCAGTTTTGGTATATTTTAACGGCGGATCAGTTTTAAATATTGCAGAGAGAAATAAAACAAGGAGAAGCAGCCACAGTGAGCTGTTAGATGAAGGGCTGCAGCTGCACCAACTTCTCTGTGAGGTAACTACTTTCACTTTCACTGTTCAGACTAGTGCACAGCATAAAATCAAATCACGGTTGCTCACTGAATGATGGACAGGTCAATTATTGCCTGATCTGATTAATACAACAGCAGTTTGTTTGGCTTCCCCCAGAATTCTGTGACCAGGTTTCTCAAAGAAGAAAACTGTCAGTCAATTGATCAAGTACAACAGAATGAATACATTGCTATATGCAATAATTACGACCAGTGTAAAGCTTATAGTTAGGGCTGGATCAGGTGAGTCCTGAACCATCCCTTAGTTATGCTGCTATAGGCCTAGACTATGGGATTTCCCATGGTGCACTGAGCTCCTCTCTTCCTCTCTCTTTCTGCACTCAATCATGTCCCATTAATGCATGTTACTAACTTCACTTCTTCCCCGGAGTTCTTGTGCTTTCTTGTCTTGCAGGTTCTTATCAATCCTGGTGGAGCCTCCTGCCATGGTCCTGCTAGATTGCCATTACCAATACTGTTGTTACTGTGCACCTGTCTCTGTCTTTCCGTCTCTCTCTCTCTCACCCACCCCAACTGGTCGAGACAGACGACCACCCACCTAGAGCCGAAGGATCTGTCCTAGGTTTCTGCCTTTTAACAGGCAGTTTTTCCTTGCCCTTGTCGCCAAGTGCTTGCTCATGGTGGTACTGTTGGGTCTCTGTAAATAATGTTATAAAGAGTTCGGTCTAGACCTGCTCTATTTGAAAAGTGCCCTGAGATAACTTCTGTTATGAATTGGCGCTATACAAATAAAATTGAATTGAATTGAATATGATGGACCACATTTGGGCTTTTGTGGCCAAATTCTTTCTCCCCGCCTCTAACTGGCTAACTTTTCCTACTGGCTGGCTACTCCATATCCTTGTGGAAAGCCCTGCGCATCACAATAAAGAAACTCCAGATAGTGTTTAAAGTCTCAACTTACAACAAAGGTATCATAAGAGAAGGTGTGTCTGATCTTCAGGTGCTGAAAAAAGTCAGCACTCCTGTAGTTAGGGTCCCCCCAAGGCATTGAGGCACAGATGGGGCACACCTGGACAGAAACAAAGTGAGAGTAATAAAGCATCTATGAACCAATTAACCCTTGCAGCATCCAAACAAAGCGTGTAACCTTATTTTTAAAAAGAGCGACTATTGGAGTCACAGTGTAGCGTGGATTTCCTACCACTTGGCGTGCATCTCGAGCATGATGGGAAGTGCAATGTTCAACCAGGCCGTCCTGATCAAGGTTCTGGCAGTTGCAGTATGGGCAGGTGAAGGTGAAGCGATTTGGAACTGGACTGTGGGAAAGAAAAAGAAACAATACAATACTTCACACTACTGAGTTTGTATTTAAACCTTTTTTCTACAAAGAGACAGCTTAGCTATAGGGAGTATTGCACTTTAGATATAAAAGGAAACAGAGTTATTTGATATCAATATAATACTTAGCTACAATAATAGTCTTTTTCTGGTTTTAAAGGCTGCCAATAACATTTTCTGAATTAATCCAACTGAGTAAAATGACTTGCAAAAGGACACTACCTGATAATCCACATGCCAATTGATTGTTTCTCCACAAAGCAGAAATACTTATCACAAAAATATGTTGCAATATAAAAATCCATTCCACTTTTTACAACCTGGGTCTCTTTCCAGTTTTGTCTGTCTGTTATGAGATCTAAATGAAAAGAATAATCCATTTAATGGCTTTATGGGTTTTGATTGCCTTGTTTACAAAAGGTATGTGGAATACGGTAAGACAACCAGGAAGTCAAACCCAGTGACAAGTCATGTAGATGGTGATGTTGGTCTTGAGAACAACATTATTCTAACCTATACATATTCTACTACACACTACACCAGCAGTGACAGTGACAGCACAAAATCTCATTTTACTGCTTAATACTGAGTAAATTACTGAATGTTTATTACGTAGGTAATAGAGAATTAGTAAACAAGGAAGTGATTTTGGACAAAGTCCTGGTTTTTCTTATCACCCTGTATTTAACCTGGTGATGGCAGGCTGGCTTTGGGCAGTGGTCCTCACTCCCTCTTCAATGTACTCCTGGTATTTTGAACAGGCAGCGGTGTGGCTTCTCATCTGAGAAAGGCCAACCTGAATAGAGAGGAAGCACACAACAATAACTGCTAGTGCAAACAGAATTATATAATTGTTCTGTTCAATGTTTGCAATGTGAACTCTGCTACTGTCTGAATATATAAAGACTCAATCCTGAAACAGTATCAGTTTACGTTTGGTCCAAACTAGGGTTGCACGATATGGTTAAAAGATCATATTGGGATTATTTTCACAGTTATTGCGATTTGATTCACGATTAATGTGGGAATTATCATTTTTGCATCACAAATTCAACGTTCACTAAAAAAAAAGTATTAAAATCATGATAATGTGATATTCTTGGGGGTCTGTACCAAAACACATGTTTTCTTAAATCTGGAGAACAAGATTTGTAGACCAGGGCATCTCTGCAGCACTACAGTACTTCATTATAATGCTGTTTTATCACAAATTTTACGTTTATCAAAACATTTCCATATTGCTTCTGCGATTTGCAAATATTGCAAATTGCGAGTAATTGTGCAGCCCTCGTCTAAACCCTTGCGCGTTTGCAAAATCAAATTCACAACAAACCAGCAAAAGTCACTGAAATGTCTTATCTCTGAAGCTTCTGAATAGTCATAAAACATACCTGAATTCCACATCCCTTGCAAGACGCCACAGATGATTGGATGAGGGCCTCAAGCTCAACAGCTTTAGTCCAGTGACCCAGCCCGGCTCGACATACAGCACAAACAGGCTTCTGTGGTCGCAAACACTCCTGCAAACAGCTCTGACAGAACCTGACCAGAGATGGGAGAAGAAATGTGATGAACAATTAAGTTCCTGCTTTATTTTAGCCTCTGGTGACCAGAAGGAAAGTTTTGTCGTTGTTGTTTTGTTTTCTTTTTACAAGCATTCCTACTATTTATAGGCTGACATTAAAATACATTACAAGAAACCAGATGCTGTCATTCGCTAAAAGAGCCCTGTAAACCTACAGCTTCCTGTAAATCAGATGGAAAGTCCCCACCTCAAGAGGGCGCAGGGACTTGTAGTCCTTTCAAGCGGCTTGATGAGTCCAAGTAATAGAAATCTGAACTACAACTCCCAGGTGAGGCCTCCTCTTTGATGTAAACAAAACTGAAACTGATTTAGCAAGCTGGCATCGCTTTTGCAAAATATTCAAGTAAATAAAACAGAATTACAGGGTCGCAACAAACGCAGGCACATGCGTGGTCGATGATGTGCGTCTCCGGTGGCACGACATGTTTAAAAACAACAATTCCCCCCCGGTATTTTTATCTCCTAGCATTGAATCGCTGGTGGTAGACGTGGGTTGAGGGGAGGACAATCGACAAAACAGGCAAAATACTCACGTATGACCGCATTGTGTTATGACGGGACTCTCGAAAATCTCGAGACAGACTGGACAGACGAATTCCGACACGTCGCTGCTCCCGTCGGAGGCGTTTTTCTTGAGCTGTGCAGCGCTAAACCCTCCGAGCATCGCCATTTCTTTTCTTCACTGAGTCAGTCCCCCACCGACCGTCCCTGTGACGACGTCACCGGGTTTTGTTTCTTTTTTTTATGCGCGAGGGCGGAGCCATCTGCGAAAGAACAACAAAGATTGTGTTCATCAAGTTAGTGGCTGAAAACAGCGGACAAACATTATCTGTGAGTCCTGGTGACAGTGCAGCCGGGACAAATGCAACTGACATTATTTGTTTTCTTATTTTCTCGATTAATTGCCTGTAAGTGACCTTTTCTCTGAGGTTGATATCTTGTCTGTTCCGGTACACAGCAGAGAAAGGCAGCACATCCTCACAGTGGAACAGCAGGAACTGGAGGATGTGTGACAAATATTGCTTAAATGTCAATAATGAGCTACACCTGATCATTTCCCAGACTAGTGGCCATTAGTACGATTTATATGAAACGATTGATTATTGAAAATATCGTGTGATCTCGGAGCACGTAGAAGTTAAACATAATTTTAGAATCCGATAAGTGAAGCCTTTACTTATTACAAAAATAGTTTCCTAAAACTGACAAGGTTACTTACTGGACATTAGTGTTTATTAACTAGAGTATATTACCGTATATTCTTTAATTATAATATTTTCCTCGCGCTGAAAGAATAACCACACTTACAAAAAACCCCAGTGTATATTGTTGTAACTCACACATATTGATCAGGAGTGTTTGAGCTCCTCAGCTCTTCATCCTCCGGCTCCTCTCAAACAGCACGTGGGCTCCCGATGCTGATGAGCTGTCAGAACTCGGCGCATGCGCGTTGGGATGATGGGAATTTCCAACAGCTGAGGAGGCGTAGCTAGCCACTGCTAGCACTTGTTTAAAGGTAAGCTGTGCGGTTTGGTGGTGTTTTCTGGTTAGAAAACGATGTGATCTCGTAGCTGCAGCAGGATTACACTTGGTTCTGTTAGGGTCTCGCCACAGTGAGGGTATACGTTTAGATAAGTGACTCTAAAATCGCCAAAGATTTCTATGTAACGATGGACCGCCCTGCTAGCTAAAGCAATTGTTAGCTCGCCAGCTGCGCTGAAATGGGCGTTCACTGCTGAGCTTATACTTTGGGGGGGCATGCCAGGGACAGCATCGGGTTGTGTCGGGGTTGAGATTCATTAGGAATTAACATAGAAGCTGTCCTCACAGCGTCTCTCCTGCTATCAACACTGGTCGTGACCGACTGATGTCGCTGCTGTTGATGCGCAATAGTAATGCATGGTGATGTTGTTAGCTAAGGCACGTTTCTTGCTAGCTCGCTAAAACGGGTGCTCGCTAAGGTTTGATGTGCGAGGTAACTGCCTGAGAAGTAGGAGCAGAAACCCTCTTCTGTTGTGGTTCGAGCCTCGTAGGAGATTCAAGGCTTACGTGTATACATATCCAGATATCTGTATGTCTAATATTGCGTCCTTAATTTGAGCTAACTAAAGCTAAGTGCAAGCTACCATGGTTTACACGCAAGTAGTACCGCCAGCTCACCCATTCACTGGCGCAAACACAAGCGCAAGTCAAAAGGAGTATCTCTGTCAACAGTTAAACCTGGTTATGTACAATGTAATCCCCCCCCGGTCTATTTCTTACGTTCATCATGTTAATAATCTAGCATTATCAGTCCAGCCTATTCGCTGTATGACTAATATAAAATAGGGATGCATCCTCACATCCTCCCACTCAGAACGCAGACATACCTCTCTTTCACACTCTTTACTATCTGAATCGTTTAATGTTAAAAACTGTTCCTGATGATCATTATAAATGTATTTTCTTTTGGGTTGAATTGAGACTGACTCAGCCAGTAAAAGAAATGTGGCCCAAGTTTACTTCTCTATCTGTCTCTGTCATAATGAAGATCATTTCCATTTTATAAACCTCTCTGGTGTCATTACAGCTTGGAGGGAGCTCCGAAGAATCACACGATCATGATGTGTCTGCAAGATGAGTGACCTTGAACTCTGCACATGCTGAAACCAAGGATTCAACTCTGCATCAACAGTGTGAAGAAAAAGCTCCTCCTGACCTCAACTCGCACGACATAGGCCTGTTTGTCTGGAAACAAGAACAGGCTTTGAGCCAGTACCATAGATGCCTGTAAGAAAGCATCCCTACAGACTGCAGCCTAGCTACGCCAACTAAAAGCACCAGACAACTGCATCTCTTGTTTAAAGGATGTGCTGCTGATTGGACACAAAGTCTCATTCCTCTTCCACCTCTCCAAAACGCTATTAATGTTGAGTGTGTGCCAGCGTGTACGGTGAATAATGGTGACCAAAAATGGTGCTTGAATGTGGCATCCTGGTGCAGGGTATGCTAAAAGGGGTGAGGCTCTCTCAGAAAAGTATGTAACAGCTGACTGATAGTCCGCTGTAGATAATGGATGCCAAGTTAAAAGAGGACCTGTTTCGGAGGTATGTGACGGCACTGGAGAGGCGTCTGGAGGAGGAATACACATGGATTGGAACTGCACCAGAGGGGGACAAAGGGAGGCACAAGGACAGCGAGGCTCTACTCTCCACAGCCACAGCTCTGCTAGGGGCCTACCAGCCAGACCCAGGACAACGTTTCCGGATGGTGCGTTTCTATGAGGTGGTGGAGAATTCTCTCCGCTGTCAGAGAGGGGGCAACCTCAAGAGCCTGGAGAGAGCCTTCCACACGCTGGAAACCATCTGCACCAACCTCTTGCTTTTCCCCTGGAAGAAGGAGTTCAGATGTATAAAGGTGAATTTAGTCTCTTTTAAGGGTTGTCAGATTATTCTTACTTAAAGCAGTGTTCAAAGCTGACTTAAAGCAGATATTTAGTTATTAAAATGTTGGTTATAACCATATTAGCCATCAACTTCCAATATTACTTACTCACAGTAAGTGTGTATTCAGCATATACATTTTCCAGTCTCTGTATAAGCAGTTAAGAATGATGTTGTAATCAAAATACAGCAACATGCTAAAAAAATGTTGTTTATCTAATAACATTTTTAGAAGTTTGTGGTGCAACTTTTAGATTTGAATAAAAAGAGGAACATCAGCACAGTCAGAAAGAAATGCACAGGTTATTCCATTGTGAATTCTCACACGGTCCATCAGCTCTTTTCCTTGCTAGTTTTTACAGATAGTATATACATTCATATCTTTTATAACCTTCAGGTGGAAACAAGGTTTTTTTTCACATCTTCACTAAGTGCCGTGGTAACTGTGCCAGTGGTCACAAAGATGGCAGTGATCTGACTGATACAGAGACAGTACAGAATCTCTACAGGTTTAATGATCATGATGTATAGGCTACAAATTACCTTTTTATTTAAATATAATGTCAGGTCTTTGTCTCCATAGTTTATCAGGCACCTAACAAGGTTATCCAACATTAGTAACTGACTTAACAATAACATATACATACTATAATATAGTTAACATAGACTATACAAATACTCCTTATTATTAATGTCTAATTTAGGATTTAGTTTCTTAGTTCCTTGTGTAACTATAACAGCAACAGCAATGTGTTGTATGCGGTTATGCTGCTGTTGTATGTAAACAAAAGGGTAGCCCTACCACCAAAATTGAAACACAGGATTTGAACCTGCCATCCCTGCTACTTGTTTGTCCTGTTTTTAAATACTATCCGTGATGTCAGTAACCACAGGAGCAGAACAAACCTTTATTTGAATGATATAATATAAGAGGAATCTTTTAATCGACTGACACTAATGCTGATTCACCTCTTTCTCTTTCAGACCTTCACTGGCCCATACGTGTACCATCTGCAGTCTGCCATCTCTGATGCTGAACTCCGATCTCTAATGCGCATCATCGGCTACACCTGTGACCATGATTCGCAGTTCCATTTGCAGGAGCACCCAGGAGGCACAAATCATCTCCGCCAGTTGGCGTTTGAGCTCTTCCTGGCCCAGGCTGAGTGTCGTCTTCTGGGAGAGGTAGTGGCTCTGGCCCGTGGTTCAGCCTCAGAGCTGGAGGCCCTGGAACTCCGCAGAGGTTGCAGAGATGATGCAGCTGGCTGTGCCGAGGCGCTGCGCAGACGCGACAGCCTTGGGGCAGATATGGCTCGGCTGTCTGTGCGGCCGTTGGATATAGAGAGGCCTCATGCCCACCACCTGAGGCGAGGTAGCCGACCGTCTAAGTCTGTGGATGTTACAGATGGGGCTGGTCACTGGCACGCAGCAGTTAGCAAGCCTGTCTTGAAGGCCTCATTGAGTCTGAGGAAGGAGCCTCTGTTTGTGGATGCAGAGGAGGATATGAAGGATGAGATCATCAGGCCCAGCACCTCAGCATCTCTCTTCTCTGTGGCAGCTCCACCTTCTTATAGCCCTATTGCGGATTTCTTCCCAATTCAGTCACCTCCCCCGGCTGATGCTTACACATCCTACCATTTGTCCTCTTTGGATGAGATTGACTTGTACACAGAGAGGGGTGGTGCCGGGACAGGAGGAAGGCAGACCCCTTCTCGACCTCCATCCAGAGAGCCTCGGGAGGCAAGGGATGGGTGGCTGCTCAAAGGTCATGGTAGTGTGAAGTGTCAGGGCTGTGGGCTCGGCTGCTCCTCTATGGCCTCCTGCCAGAGGTGTGACATGATCCTCTGTTCTGCCTGTCATGACGTGGACCCCTCCCCTTGCTGCGGCCTCCAGGACTACCACCCCAAATCACCACGACCCCTCGATGGATACATTCCTGTCAAGGAAAAGCTCTCTGTCTACTCTAATACTCACTCCCACTCCCATCTCCATCCGCACCCCCTCACACTGACCCACTCACACTCTCACCCCCACCCTCACCCCCAGATGGTGGAGAAACCCCTCATGTCCACTAAGCTGTTTCCAAGCAAGTCTGTTGCCTTGACAACACCAAAGGGAGGCAGCAGCGAGCGTTTAAGCATGGGGGGATCGCGATGCGGGTTTTGCAACAAGCCAGGTGCATCTCACACCTGTGTGAACTGCTCTAAGGTGTCATGTGACTCGTGCATGGGCTTGTATGCAAAGGATATATGCACACGAAAGAATCCCCAGCACAGCTTTGTGCCCAACCATCAGCTCAACTTCAAATCCGGCACCATATCTCACCTGGTGTACCGATGAATCAGGCAGACAGAATATTTGTTTCTCCTTCTAGTTCCCTCCCTTAACCCGCTGCGTAGTCTTGCACTATTGCTTTAGCTCTGTTCCCGTTTAAACAACTCACTCACTATCTTCCCCTTTATCTGATGGTCTTATTGCTCTCTCTAACCCTCTCTTGAACTTTGTACATTTTCTCTTACTGTCAGTAGGGCCCTGGAATGCACATTGCCACAGAGAGCCATATCGTCTGCCCATCTCTCTGCCTTGTACAAGTTCAGGCCTTTTATCTATTTCTTCTTCCTTTTACCTTGCTACCTGCTCTTGAATAGTCATGTGATGTTGTAGCGCTTCCCAAATTCCTCAAATGTTGTCCTCTTCAAAAGGGAAACTGGAGAAAAGAGTTTAATTCCTTCTCATTTTGAATGAATTCTGTCCAAATGAACATATATACTTTGCCTAACTTCTCAGCTAAAAATTCCTATAATATATAAAATATATATATACAGTATATATGTACGTGTGAGTGTGTGTGTGTGTGTGTGTGTGTGCGTGTGTGTGGAAAAGACCTCTGAGCTTGCATTGTGACAAAGGAGATCTTTTTAAACTTGAAAAATAGTAGGGAAAAACAGAGAAAACATACACTGGAAGTCAATAAGTCAATAGTATATATTTTTAATCTCTATTCTCTAGAACAATGTGAGACTGTTAAATGGGCATGAGGTCTGTCATTGGGACTTTTGGGGTATAAATTTGGGTCTGTGGGTGCGGGGCGGGAGATATCTCAAAGGGAAATATTGAGACAATGGTCAGATGCCATATATTCTATTTAAAGATTATGCCTTGTAAATTAACCGTCAATTGTTTCTGGTTATATGACTGAGGTTTAAATGCTGCTGTTGACTTGAGACGTTGAAGATGTGTGGCGTTGACTTTTTTCTGGTAAATAGCCTGTTGAGTTGTGTCAGTTCCAAGCCCCCTCCCCCCTTCCCCTCCTCTTTCATTACACTCCTTAAGCCACCATGGTCCATGATGTTGTAGTGCACCCTTACCAGATCAGTGGTTTCCCGTCAGTCTCAGGTGGAGTTGCAGGAAGTCTCATGCTGGGCCACAAATCTATTATGATTATGGTTCTTTGACAGTGTGTGAGGTTATTGGTTGGTTTTAGACAGTATGAAAGTGTATACTCTGACACGGTTTCTGTCTACCTCAAATGGCTTCAGCTTATAACACCCAGTTCGACATTGTGGTTTCAAACTAGCCCTAAAAACCTAAGGAACATTCTTTTTTTTTTTTATTGCATTATTCTTCTCTAATTTGCAACTTGTGTTTTTGCTGAATAGAGGACATCTCATCTTACAATCAGCTGATTTAATCACCTTTAGAGGTTAGCCGAAGTTATTTATTTTGTGACATAATCCTGGGCTTTGTCGTCTCAACTATTTAGCTTTCTGTTTACAGTTTCTTTATTTACTGGGGGGACACAGAAACATGACCACCTGGAAATTATGATACGATTCAATAAGTAGCCCCGTGATAAAAATATTTAGTGAAGCTTAAGCTGTAAAAAAGAAAGAAAAACTTTAGTTTTATGGTCGATTTTGAGCATGTTGCTGTGTTGTCTGAACCACAGTGGTTTGGACCAGTCAGTGTCCTTTGAAGAACTACTAGCAGTGTGACGCAGTGAGAAGCGACTTGTTTGTGGCTCCTAAAGGGGTTATCTTAGATGTCGCTATAGCATCGGTTATGTCAGAACTAGAGAGTTTATTCATTGAAAGAAGAGCAAATAACAACAGTGAAGGCTTTTCTTGATTTAAAAATAAGCTTTCTCTCTTCTCCTTACTGGTTCGTTGATCTGCGATAGTGATAGATGGTTCATCCAGTCAGCTGCCAAGTCTTTTTTTGAAAGTGCCTGCCCTTTTCCAGACGACTTCCTAGGTTATGTGTAACAAACCTCTCTCACAGAGTTAAAAATTTAGCTTCACACAGTTAGTGTTTTATCACATGGCTATATTTTACTGGGATTCATGTTATTGTGTCCACCTGCCTGTACAGCATGGTGATTGCCAATGTGTAGTCATTTAAGTTTGGGGCGACTTTCCCAGTTATGTGTTATGGCACCCTGAGTTATTTTGCATATGTTGAGACCATGGATGTGCTCTTTAAGGCCCGTGATTTTGAAGTGATTGGAAAATGTATTGTTTTACTTCAAAGGGCCGGGCTGTCATGTGTAAAGAAACTCCGCTAACATGTTAACTGAGTGTTGTAACTTTTGAGAATACCTTTAGTGATTATCCATGCAAGAAGATAATTATAAGTCACAGAGGGCTAATTTAAAATCACATTTAATAATAAAAAAATAAAAAAAAGTCTGGGTTATTTTGACAGGACGTTTAGGCAACCTTAGCCTTTATGTTCTGTCAGGAATAACCTCTAAATGCCTTAAGCTCGTTCAGCTGAGTATTTTACGTTTTCAGTGTCGTCATGTACATTGCTTTGTGTTTTTACCAGCCTGTAGGTTAAACATTAACACTGGTTTGCCAGGCTGCATGAACTAAATACAGAACTTGTTCACTGACAGCTAAGAGTAGAATTCAAAGGAATTGAAAAATACAAGTATGGATTAACCTCACAGAGCGTATTGAATCGCGCATACTGACAGAATTATGCAGCAATTCACTCTTTGCAGACCTATATATATATATATATATATATATATATATATATATATATATATATATATATATATATATATACATACACCATGTGCTTACAGGGGTTAATGTCTATAACCATGTTCTGCCTGGAAGTCAAGTTTCATATTACCTAAACACACAAGTTTGGTGTGAGTGATTTCTGATCTCTCACTTCTGCTCATTCCTTCCCTTTAAAACTGAGTTTTGTGTTTTGTGTCTTTATCATGATAAACAACATAAAGAAGGGATGTTTTGATACTGTTTGGATGTAGCTTAAGAGAGATCTTGGGTCAACATTAGCTAACGTGGGTATCACAAAAGTCTTGAGTGACCTTAGGGGAGGTGTGCAATTGTTTATTTTTCATCTAATGAAGCCTTTCTAAATAGTTTTAATATTTATCATAGATATATTTCCGTCTGTTCATCGCACATCATACCAGCAACAAAGATGACTTTCAGAAGTATTGAGCCATGTTGCAAGAGCGATCATATTGCCAAATGAAGAACAAATATCTTATTGGAGTTGAAAACAAAATCTTGTTGCTTTCCCAGATGTACAGTTGATGTAACATAAATCTGTGGTTTTGCTAAAGTTTAGCCTTGTGTCTGTAGATGTTGGCCTTTTCAAGAAGCCTAGAAAGAGAATCATCAACATAGATACCTACTCGCACACCATGGGACGTGGATTTGAACTGGATCAGTGGACTGATCATTTGTGTAGGTCACTACAAAGGGCTAAACAGTCTTCAGGGCTGCTGCTAAGTATGGACACTGTTTTAATCTTTTGGTGAACAACAGACTCGTCATAGGTAAATACCTGATGTGGAGCTTACTTTACATTCGTCAGTGGATATGAGTACCTGATGTTGGAAATACAAAAGAGCTATTTTTATTTTGTGTCATGGAATACATTGAGCCATTTGAACATAATTGGTTTAACCCACACCAGACACACTCAAGTCATTGTGGAAGTCAATACTCCCTTTACCTCTTTGTGTGGTTATCTTACTGATGTTAACAGTGGTGGTGTAGTTAGGCAGCCCCTTTACCATTCCTATTTCCCTAACCCTTTCTTGGCATGCTCTGTACATGGCCCAAACCCATACCTCTTCTCCCTCAAACCTACATGTACCCCCCTCCCCCCTTCCACCTTGGCACTGAGGATCATTGCACAATGTCTATGTGAAGGGGTATGGACCTTATGATCAATATGTGGGCATACATGGGGGTGGAAAGGGAAAATAGCCAAAATTGTTAATCGGTGAAAATATATATATATATATATGTGCGTGTATATATATATGTATGTATGTGTGTGTATATGTATGTATATATATACACATATATATATATAGAAACGTAAATGAGATTTTATAAAATAATTTAAAGAATAAAATTCTGAAAAAAAGGTTTCTGCCTTGTGTTTTTGGGTGATTGAAACTTGGTATGTAGTACGATCAAACGGTTGCAATGCATTGTGTTCACAGAGTTCAGTCTGTTTGAATTACTATGAATTTTTAGTTTTTAGAATTGCGTTAGCCATTCAGATCCTGTAAGTTTTGTAACTTAAGCCCATTTCTCCTATCTTCCAGGCTGCCAGTTTGATTTTGAGTTTGCCGGCTGCTCATTTCTGCATTGGTTGTTTTTCTCCTGTATGACCAGCAGATGGCGACAAATACGCACGAATAGACAGACTGAGGCTGCATTAAATACTCCACCCTATCTAACTTAACATATATGTCTCAAAGTAGGACTTTCCTGGATTTTATTTCTTAGCTGGATCTACATTAGTGTTATATTTATATGAAATACTTTAATGATCAGCTATACAGGATTTGCAGTGTTTCCCTCATCTCAGACTGACATGAACAAAGTCAACCACAGAGTAAAAAGACAAACCCCTTTCCTCTGGATGTTGTTCCCCTCTGTCTTTGACATTGGCTGTTGCATGATACAGTGTACTATAAACGTCAATAACAAAGTAATAAAAGTGCAAATGCAATAAGTTAAATTATCCTTTATTAATCCCTGTAGGGAAATAAATACTCTGCATCTTACCCATCCTAAGTACTAGTAGCAGTGCAATACTGCTTTTCTGTACAGTTGAAGAAAGGTTTAGCCAAGTCAGTCTTTATGTGTGTAATGTTTTCCACTACTTTGAGGAGAAGACAAGATGTCTCGAGAGCATATTTTACTGCAACAAAACAATGTGACCGTTGCAGCTAGAGAGAGGAAATAGACTGGTTCCATTATTAAATTAGTATCTTTGGTTCAAATGGAGTATCACAAACTACTTAAACAACAATTGTATGAACCAGTGGTAGGAAACCTGCAGCCATTCTCCAGTAGTTCTCTGTGGCTTTGACAAAACATAACAACGGTAATTTATTATTTCATTTTCAGTTTCATTTATCGATGTTGTAGGCCTAATGTGACTCTTACATTCAGCTGTATAAATGTGTAGCCAGACCAAATAAACTGTTTCAACATTTGGTCAACTAAAATGTGCGTCATGACATCCTGACCTGGTGCCTTTGCCCTAGAATTGGCCGAACTTAAAAAGCCTAGCTAGCTATGGATTCCAAATCACCCCCAAAATGTAATAGTGCGTGGACAAATTTGTTTGCTTTCACTACCAACACCGCGAGAAATTAGCAGTATAAGTACGTTTAGGTTGCTGACCCCTGACCTTGGCAACGGAAAACAAAAAGAGAACAGGATAACCTGACACTCTGATCTTGAGCAACAGAACAATATCTGTAAGGTAATTTAATACAGGACAGAAAAAATCTGAGTTTCCACATGAGCAAGATTTTAAAAAGGTCCTGGTAACTTTCCCGAGATGATACAAAGTGAGAGTTTTGATTATGTATGCTCTTTGGTTACTGCCTGTTCTTAAATGTGTTGTCTTGATATGGGTGACAGGCAGTAAAGTTTTTGAATTTTTAATAGGAGTCCTCATTTGCACCCATAGAAGCTCAGGTGGATTTTCTTTTATATTAACAGCCATACGTCAGACACCTCATTCAGCTGTTACCTCAGATCCTCACGGTACGCTTCATCAACTACAAGAGGATCACTTTGGAATGGACACCTGCTTAGGATAAACTAGCAGATGCTTGTCTTGGCTCCCGGTTCTTTAACAATTTAGAACTGGAGTCTGGAGCCCTTCACTAGTCTAAATAAGCTTTAATATTGGGTATAACAATTGGATCAGTTTCTGGATCAGTGCCTGCTGCCTCCAAAAGACTGATGTTATACATGTGATACAGGATAGCGGTAGCTGAGTTTATCCACGAAAGGGGAAAAGCAGAGATGGACAACAGTCGGACCTCTGCAGAGACGGAGTGAGTGACAGTCCCTGCACCCTGCATAATCTTTTCCTCTGGCCTATGTCAGAACTGTGCTGAGCTGAACCGCCTTTACCAGCCTTGAGGGAGCCTAAGACATATTAAGTGAAGAACACTGTCCAGCAAGAGAGGAAGATAATGACGGATGGCACACTGCTTAGCCTTTGAATAAATCCACCTTCAAGCAGTAGCATTTTCGCCATCTTAGTTAATGGTCTCATTAAAAAGAGAGTGCCAGAGAAATAATTACAGCATAATAATTAGAGGTGGCAAAAGTACACACATTCCTCACTCAAGTAGAAGTACAGATACATGTGTAGAAAAAGAATAAGGAAATAGAGAAGTACTGAATAAACTTCAACTCAAGTGAAAAGAAATCAGAAATGTACTACAAGTATAAAAGTAAAAAGTGTTCTCTTGATTTCTCTGAAGGACATTTCTACATGCTGTTTCTGTGCAAAATGAAACCTCAAATATGGTTGAGTCACCTTCCCTGTCTGTTCTGTCTTGTTTCATCTGTCTGTATGATACGTACCAGTACAGATGCTGGGAAGGCATGCAATGATGCTAAAAATGCAAATAAAACTAAAGTAGGGAGCCTGGTTTTGAAAATGTAAGGAGCAGAAAGTACAGACATTGGTGTAAAAATGTAGCAGGTAAACGTTGTAGTAGTTGTAGTAACAAAGTATTTGTACTTTCCTACTTCCACCACCAGTGCACAGGCATTCAGACAACCGTTATGAAATATTTGCCTGTATTTTCAGAGTACATGCAATAAGAAATGTTTAACATTCACTGCATTAGGTCAAACTATCCGTATCTGCCTCCGTTTTATTTGCATTTTCTCAATTTATTCGACTATTTCCATTCCTGTAAACCATAATTGCTGAAAAAATGTGCCTATGCTGAGAAATGTGCATCTTGAGATTCCAGCAGCAGAAACTCACAGTTTGCCTCCCACAGCAGCTGACCATTAGCCGAGGAAGTTGAGCACAACATTTAATGGACAACATTTGGAATCTAACAATAATAATGAGTTTTTTAAAGACACAAGAGAAAGGTACATAGCAATGAAAACAGAAAATATGTACAAAAATACAATAAAAAAACACAATGAATACATAGTAATACTTGTATTCATATTCATTCACCAACATTTTGAAAGTGTGTCACTTATAATCAGGGCAATAGCAGAGATTGTGTTCCACCCACATGCAATGACACACCAGCAAACACTGCACCTACACACCGGTGTAATTCATATACTGATGCATTAACATCTGTACATACTAGATACATGCACATTTGTGACACAAATCCTATGTGACTGAGGCAAGCGGTACTTGAAGAACCAATTATCATAGAAGGAAGACCTGTGTGTGTGTTAGAGATGAGATTTAGACGTGCATAAGGCTATATGTCAGAGGAGAATCATGATGGCTTCTCTCCATCTGTGTCATTTGCTTTTTTCTCCCTCTCTGCGTTTCTCCTTCTCTTGCCCTCTTTGCTCGGCACGTGATTTCTCATCGTGGCGATTGATACATTAATTAAATCCATACTCAACATTTCACTCTCAGTAATTAATTGTATTAGGTGACACTAATGAAAACAAGCATTTTATCTAATGCCCTCAATTAGAGTCGGAGAGTGTTAACAGAGACTCAAAAAATAAATTTTTGTACAAACAGATAGTGTAAAAATGCAGAGGCGAGCACTTAACACTATCCACCTTTTATCTGTGCTTATTGTAGCTCTCAGTTTCTCAAGAAAAACTACTAGTAAAGGTCTTTACCCAGTGTTATAAATACTCTACTACACACTACACAATCGACTGAAACTAATGTGTGTGGTTTTTTAATTTATAATTAAAGGTGTCATTACCCTCCCTTTAACATTGAAACTCCATCCTGTTGATGTCCTTGCCATTACAAAGCCTTAATTCATCATCAGTAAGTGAGGATTTTTATATTGAACCCCGATAGGACTGATAATGATAAATGTTGCTGCTTGTCCAATTTCCACTACAGGTTGTGTTTCTAACCAGCACGCACAGGTGTTGAAACAACCTCAGGAGAAAGATGATTTGTAACAGTGAGATTATCTGATATTTCATTGTGCTTCATGTCCTCACGCCACCCACACACAACTTTGACAGCCCTTGACAGGTCATTACTTAAATATTACCTTCACAGTATCTCATTGTCTTGGTTAACCAGAGAGAACAAAAGGATTATAACACTTGAATATGTGGTCATACATTTAACATCTTGCACATTTAACACAAAAGGGAAAAAGAGAGAAAAACATGCATGTCACAACTAAAGGAGTAGGGAGAGGCATTCATATCAAATCAAGCAGAAACACTCTATTATTAACTAATAACTATTCAGTTATAAGGTACATTATTTAAAAGCAAGATAAGATATTCAGGCTGCTTTTTCAGCAACTAGTAGCACCAGGCAAAGTTCACCAGACTTTGTATTGACCCTCAGTACAACAGATACCAGTGCCAGATGATCTGGCAGGTCTGGGTAACTCATAGCTTTTAAGCATCTCTAGCATTAATTGTTGAGGCCATTCAGTGCTTTATAGACAAGCAAGAGAAGTCACATCTACTGGAAGCAGTGATTTGAGGGCAAGTAAAGTGGACTTTCTTATCTTAGTCCCTGTAAAAACTGGACTGGCGCTAAGCCTACAGGACAGAGTCTATCCTGTTTGTCTACTGCAGGTTATAAAAGCATGTGCAAGTGTCTTCAGGTCTGGAGTTGAAGTGTCTGTGGAAACCTAAGTTCAGCATCAAAAGCGACACAGAGATTCTTCACTTCTTCTGTAGTTCTGTAGAGTAAGAGATCAAAATCAAGCTTTATTTTCAGTGTTTGACACAGGACACTAAAACGTGCTGTGAAATCAAATGGCATATAACTATTACGAACAGTACTTTCCTGTATTACTTAATGAAATATGCTCCTGGGCTCTATATTAATTGTGGAAGAAGTGTCCTGTTTTACGCAGTGGACACTCAAGCTGTTTCTAAAGATAAAAAGCACCTGGGTTTTAAAATTATATTTGTCCTCGGAGCTTTTCTCTCCTGAAAGCGTTTTAGCTTAACAGGTTCAAAATCATCCTATTATAAGTATAAATATTCTGCCTCACCTGTAGCTGCAGTGAAAGTTATTTTTTTTTCAAATTGTGCTTGTCAAAGGTCACCAGATAGAGAAGTGAGGACAAGTTCTGAGAAAGACGATTCTTGACGTCAGTTCCTTTATTCAATAAATCCTTATTAAGGATATCGAGTTACTTTGAACCATGACAAACACTGTAATCCACAACTTACCTTTTGTTAATTACTTCCAGTAACTTAAGTGTGCATATCAGTGTTCTTAGTATTTTCTGTCCCCACACTGCTTTTTCTTCCCAGTACACTTTTTTTTCAGAAAGACTGTGTGTCTGTGTCAGCCACTCAGCCTTGACAGCTTATCGACATCTTCCACCACTTCAATCTCTACTTCCTTTCACTCATACCACAATAGCTATAAAATAACCTTGGGCCATTGTTACTGCAAAAAAAGGGTCTACCGCGTCACTTGTTCCATATGGCAGGAACAAATTTTCAACAGAAATGTAGTTCTGTCACAATGTAGTCATTGGCAATGAGTTGTGATGAGACGTATACAATGGTGTACACAGAGGTAACATCAATGAAACACTTTTTACTCATAGCCAATAACTGGACATGTTTATATAAAAGATGAAAAAGCAATGTCCTACCTATGACAGTGACAGGTGTCTCTGCAACACAGATCAAAACACTTAATTACATGACGTTTTTATTGAAACCATTTATTTGCACAGTAAGGGCAACACCACTTAGAAAACCACAAATGGAAATACACCGCAAGAACCAGTAGTAATGATAATGGCAATTTGTTTTTAACTTTCTTTTCAAAACAACATACAGAACAAAGACATCATCAACAGAAAAGACAACAAAATATAACTACTAATAATTACAAAACTGATAATACAAGAAAACAACAGATAAAAAACATATACATACACATATGCATACGCAATGTCTTATTACTGATATTGATTTGGGTACAATGACGTGGCTGGACAGCTAGCTTGTCTTGTTGTTAAACATACTGTCAAAT